GCTGGGGGAAGGCTGGTTGTATTGCGGGGGGTCGCAAAAATCCCGAACATTTCGAACGGACGGTTGACCCTGGATGCAAGGTCTCAAGAACTTCCCGGAAAGATACTTATAAAGTCTGACAGTCCTCGAAGAAAAGCTTTGATTCCTCCTAGGCAATAATTCCAGGATAGCACATATTGTCTCCAATCATTATCACCCGCACAGACGAGCACAAAACTAGGCTAGAGGTGAGGTATGCCAATTTTAACACTTTGGAGCCCATGCAGCCCATATGTGGGCTGCAGTCAGTCAACTGTGTGGTACCTTACGACTCATATTTTGGAAACAAGCACTCAGTTTTTCTTTTGTTTCTTCTTTCCATTTCATTCAATAAGATTTCTCTAGATCACCAATAGGTTTTTGTTCTCAATTTGCTCAATAAGATTCTTAAAAATTCCACTGAAGTCCCAGCGGCCGAAAAACGTAAAACATGCGCGGTCTCCAACGTGTTAAATATGGTTGCCGTGCGATTCTCATAATGACGCCATGAAATGCTATGATACTGGCAGGAATAAGCGTTGAAGCGAGTAGGAAATTCGAAGCGTAAACAGTTGTCGCTCTCGCTGAAATCCCCCTTCCCCTCCCCATTCTCAGGCTTAGTTTTAGGGGATGAAAGCGAACAGATAATCCGAGTCTGCCAAAAATGAAGAATTCAGTGTCATGTAACCGTCAGTGCTTAAATTATGCACCTACCCCCGTTTTCAAAAAAACGACAGAAGCCTGGTGCCACCTTTACGATAGCGTCTGATTTCGTAGATTCAAAAAAAAACACTACTTTGAAGTCGACGCACGAATCAGGCACAAACCAAGACAATTTAGGATCAGATTAAATCGTTCGTACAGGATGAAATGAAAAGGCGAAATTGTCATCATTGCCATTTGATGGTACGAGGTACAAATTTGTAGCACCACTTTACAAACTTTTGGGCTATGTGAAATCGGACCTTAGGCCGGCTCTATACAAGTGTGGTGGGCACGCCCAGCTTTTCACGCATGTCAAGTGACTGCCCTCACCCCCACCCCCTAGATTGGCCACACTCTCCCTGGCTTAGGCTGGTGTCAGAGTCCGCGATCCGTCGCAGGTTTCGCTGATTTTCGCGATTTGCGCGATTTGCGCGACGACGGATCGCAAAAATTGCAAGTGTGTGAACATTTGAAACACTGAATATGAAACAAGTGGAATCATGAGCAGTCGTCATTCAGCCATCACTATCAAGCAGAAGTGGCGGCAGGATTGGAGAACACCTTGCAGTATTGATCGGGCACTTGTGATTTCCGTGACCCGTCGCGTGAATCGCGCAAATCGCGAAAATCAGCGAAACCTGCGACGGATCGCGGACTCTGACACCAGCCTTACGGATTCCCCCACTCTCGTCACAGTATAATAGCGGGCAGCACTCCCATTGACGTACATTTCTGTTCAGAAAATGCGGCGTACTTACCCTACTTGCTTAGCACCCTTAGGCCTTATGGCTGTTCATCACGCGGGAATTTCAATGAAATGCCAGGAAAAGACATGAAGTGATGTATCGACAATGAAACTTCGCAATAAACGATCACCATTATTAATGAAAACGAAAATTTGATGGGCAAGTGGTCTGGGACTGACGACCCAGCACTTTCCCAATTCGATCAACTATCGCAGATCAAGGGATTCCTAGTGATTTGCCAGCGATCACAGTTAACCTATTTCCCACTGAATAGCTTCAATATTTTGATAGAATGATAAAAACACATTCTACAGTAATTCTTATGCAGGCTGTTGTACCTACAGTATATCTACAGGTTCGCGCAAACGCGCGTCTACGATTCTGTACACCATCGTTACGGGACGTACCTGTTGAGCTAGTTTGATATCACTCATTTCTTCGGCGAGAAATCGATGAATGCAAATGAAGGCGTCATCGGTGTGAAATAGAATTTCGTCGTCGTTTTGAACGTAATTCACAACGTAACCGCGTACCGAAATCACCAAACGGGACCACCACAGGCGATCGAGGGCGGATTGCATCTGCAAACTTCTGAGCTCATGTGTATCTGCGAGCTAGTCAGACAGCAGATTTTACTGTCAGCCAGTATTTGAGAATCCTTTGCTGAAGTCCTCGATCATAGTATAATCCTATATGTGCAGTTTCCCCAAACGAAGTGAATTAGCCTTGGAAAACACTTAGGAGTCGGAACTGTGAAGAGATATAGCTTTAGGAGATTCTGCTCTAGTATGAGCTGAGCACACAGCACAGGCACTGAGCAACTTTTTAACACCGTTATAAACGCCGGACTTTCATGTGAATACGTATTCCATCAATTAACTGATTTAGGACAGACAGTCGGTACGAAGTTCCTTATGGCCCCCAACCAATCTGAAGCCAGTTATCTATTTCCAAGTGACGAAATTTTCGATTGTCAGGAGCGGGAATTGATCTCTGCCACTTCATTCTAGTGAGGGAGCCAGTGATCGCTTCCCCAGCTTCACTTTTATTGTAACTGGAACGCCAAAGTCCGATTAGAAGCCAATAATCACGTTCCACGTCATACTCTGGTAGCCTACCCTCTAGTACGGACAAAGAGAAGAGCGTCGAGTGCAGACCACACACCACAAGTTACGACGGCCAAGAAAAAAAAGAATCTTTTTCTTGGCCGTCGTCACTTGTGGTGTGTGGTCTGCACTCGACGCTCTTCTCGTTCTCCGAAATAGAGGGCATGTATTAGGTACCGGATATCTTAGTGTCGCTTTTCTGAGTTCAGGAAGTTTTGGGGCCGATTACTATGGAAAATCAATATCTCAGAAAGTCCTTTTTGCTCATTAATACTGCGAAATATGTTGCTTATTGTTTTCTATTGTTGGTTCACAATTTAACTTTCCCCAATTTTTATACTTTTTTGAAAATTCCTGGGTCCAGTGTGCAAATTCGCATGTGTGTACCAAATGCTTCAAAATTCTTGCTGAGAGCTACAACTTCCGCCCACCAAACCAACATTGCATTTGTTGGAGGGAATACTACCATTTAAAATGCTCATCGGTTTTTCACAGTTTTCTCAAAAGACAGTGAAGTCTTTGAAGTGATGCCCGCAATCGTCGTCAAAAAGGTGGCCCTAGTTAAATCAGTCGAGACGGGGCTGCACCAGTCTTGTGCTGAAATGGTAGGACACCTTAGCAGTGACTGATCGATGATGCACAAACGCTTTAACGAAGTTGATTGCACAAGAAATTCTAATAAATGTGCTCATCTGCTACTCACGTGTGCTCAAAAAGGGTGCGTTTTTGACCCGATATGGCAAAAAAGACTCCGGGAGAAATTGTCCACTTGAGCTGGGGAGTCAT